CACACACTCACACACACACACACACACACACACACACACACACACACTCGGAAACATAGCGGTAAAAGACTCTTTGGAACCTTGACTTGCTGTCAAGGTCTCAGGAGTTTTTTTATTCTTCTCTCGTGATGGAAATGTATTTTACACTATAAAGCAGCTGTCCTTTGTGTCTTTGCATGCACTGCTCAAAGTGTATTTGCGCACAAGGCCTCCACGTATTATGCCAGCAGATTTTTTTTTCTTTTTTCCGAACAGTTAATGTGCGAGAGAACCCTGCGCCAGAGTCGCAGCCATGGCCTTAAGCCTCCCTGTCAATGACAAAAATTCTTTTTGTTCCTCTCTTCGCCACATACGGCCGAACAAGCGTCAGAACAGCGGCAGCTCACCAAGGTCACCATGTCCATGGAAACTGACTGCTTCTGGGGTGCTCGGTGTGCTCCCAGCAAAATGATCTTTTTTTTTGTTAGTAGTATTAGTATTTTTTTATCAGTGTGAGAAAGCATTGGAAATTTTTGGAGTCTAATAAGTTTTTGTCACGGTCTAATGAAAGGAGGATTTGACCAAAGAATTTGTTGGCCGACTATAATTATTACTTATAATAATGTGCTTGTTAGGGGTGTTGAATTTACTGATACTTTAAATGCCGGTTTACAAATTCAACAAAAAAAACTCTCAGGATGGAACACACAAAATATTTTTTATATTAGGTTTAAGTAAGTTTGAAGAGAAGAAAAAGAAAAGAAAAATTCTAATTGGGTTTATTATTATGTGAAAAATAGTCCCATTTTCTGCAGGGAGCAAAAAGGAGGGGGTGGTAATATTAAATTGCATTATATATGTATATTCAGGTATGTTCCAAATATAGATGCAGCCAATTTTAAACAAGTAGAAGTTGCTGTAAAACATAACTTTAGTGACTTAAATGAGTGTAGCAGCCCATTAGCAGACTGAATGTGATTCAGATGGGAAACACAGGGACTTTCTGGTTTTTATATAACAATGTGCCACATAAAGGCACCTTTAAATACATAGAAATAAAGAGGAAAATACAACTGAAATAGCCATCCAGGGCAAAAGTTTGCACTTTGACAAATTTATCAAATCCTAGCTTAATAAATCTTTTCCTTAAAGGCCCGGTCGGTGGTCTGGTGATTTGTTAAAATTAGTGGCATGCCACCAGCAGCTCATCGTTTGGTGTAGATGTGCCAAACCAGCCACTAAATCTGGGCCGTGAAAATGCGTTGGCATATAGTCGTACAACAAAGAAACAGAGCAAAGGTTTTTGCTGACTGCAGATTGTTGCATGTAGCTCTGACACAACTGTTTTCATAACTCTGATGTGCTCCATGTGCTTTGCACCTTAGAGGACCTTCTACAAGCACAAAGTTATTTAAAAAAAACATAACATTATTGATTTTAGGAGTGAACCATGACAGCTTCATTATATAGTTTGCAGGGAACGTCATATTTACTTTGTCTCTGATTTTTGTTATTTTTGTCTCAGTGTAGCAGCCTCTCAGTCTGGAGCTGATTGGTTTAAATAAGCGCAGCCTTTCACCTCTGCAGGAAATCTGCATTCAGTCACCGGCATCCTCGCTAACCTTCTCAATGAGCTCTCATGGGACGAAGCAAATATTTCAAACATATGATCTTCACCTTGCACATAAAGAAATATGTATTTAAACTGGTGATAATTACATTCCCCGTGGCACTGCTGGTTGTTTGGGTTGACCTCACCTTTAAACCTTTCGTGTAACGCTGAGCACAGCTTGGTGTTTCACTGTCCTTTCCACATCAGCAAATTTCATTTTGCTCCAACATCATTTTCTTTTTTTTTATTTTTATTTTTATTTTTTTGCTTTTCATGTTCTCTTCGAGATCCCATTGATTTTGTATTTTTTTAGTTTTAATCTGTTTTTCTTCTCTGTACAATATTTAGCTTAGCTGCGGTTTTTATTTGCGTTTTTTTTCTCATGGGGCAGTTTTTATTACATAACTCTAGTCTGGCACTTTTTTTAGTTTCTCTGTGAGTCCCTACATCTGTAACGAAAAAAAATTCAAACAAAAAACAAATTGTACTCTTTCCCTGTATGCAGACGCCAGACAGCTGCCAGATGTGGCTCTGACAGGAAAGTGCACCAGGGAGTGTGATGAGTTCGGCCACTCGGACACGTGCTGGATGCCGGTCCGCGCCTCGCCGCGCCAGCGCCACGGTAGCGACCCTCCCCGACTGTCAACGTTCGCCCCGGGGGACGACAACAACAACCTGCGCGGCAACGACCGTGAGAGCGACAGCGAGAGCGCTGGCAGCGCGGGGAGCTCCGAACCAGGAGTGGTGGTCAGCGCAGAAGGTCAGAGGTTGCCCTTAGCCAACGGCGACCCTCTCGGCACCCTGGGTCGGGGAGACCGCAACAGGAACATGGGCGATCACAACCGCAACCTTCTAAACCGCAAAATGACTTCCACTTCCTACGACACGTTCAGCGGCGCCAGCCTCGGGCGGCGCCAGCCAGAGGAGGAGGGAGGAGAGGGCCAGAACCCACCGGAGGTCATACCGTTGGCACGAACGGGAGGGGACTACAAGACGACTTCCTGTCTCACGCTGTCACGCCGTGAGGTCTACCTGTGACGCCCTCTCGGTGGAGCAATCCACCACCGCCATCGTCATAATCATCTCCTCCCTTTGTTGGAAAAAGAAATTGTACCAGCAAGCCATCAGTGTGGTGAAACCTTTAATCCGTGAGGATGTGAAAACGTCAAAAGGGATGCTTTTTCAAAGCTTTCATCTAACTGTAACTTTCAAAATCAGACTAATATTTAGCTTATAAGTACTTAAACTTATAAGAACTCATCAATCAGCTCTTCTGACTGAAAGTGCTTTCTGAAAACTGTTTTTAACCGCCTCTGAAAGCTACCTACAAGCAAAGACGGTGTGTCCACATGGAGGAGAACACTCTTTTCTTCTTCTTCTTTTTTAAAAATCAAATCCAATGCATGCCTGACCCTTTGACCATAGAGCTATTTATGCGAAGAAGACTGTGTGCATTCTGAGGCTCTGGGTGCATTTAAAAAAAATGAAGCCAGAATGGGATTTCTCTGATGAAGCATCTGCAAAGAAAAGACTGCTGAGGTTTCATCCTGTCGAAAACGAGCAAAAAAAAAAAAAAAAAAAAAAAAAAATGGGGCAGATCAGTTTGGATCTAATTCAAACTTTTTAAATTAATCGTATCATAGTAAAGGTGGGGGGAAATAACCAGCTCAGTAAGAATCATTTATCATAAACAAAGTGTGACGAATAAAGCACCTAAACCAGAAGAAACAGTGTTAGAAGAAAGACTTAAGATATTTACGATAAAGGTTCTCACCCGAGTGTCGCCGGTGCCAGAGGATTCAGCCTTGTGTGAAAATATTTGTTTCTAATTTTCCCTTCACATCTTGTTAGTATGTATATATCATATGTGTGTGTTTGATGAAGCAGCAGTGTTCTTGTTTTGCTGCTCTCTGCCATTTCAGAGTTCATTCCACATCTGATACGCCCACCCTATTCGATAAACACGCTCTCAGTGACACACATCCAAGCATGCAAACATATCCTGTGCATACACAAATATGGCCACAGTTTGTGTCATGAATCAGTGGCTGTGTGGAGTAAAGATCATTATAACCTGCTGTTGCCTTCATACAGGAAAAATCATGAACACACACAAGCACATTAACAAGTAACCAGAAACAAAAACACCTGTAAAGTACTGGGTTCATCTGTGTGTAGGGTTTTTCTTTTTTTTTCTCTTTAACATATTGCCTCATTAAACTAGCTGTAGCATTTTGCCTGCTCTTTCCTCAGCCCGTATTTTAGACATGAAACGTATTTAAATAATAACCCATCTCTTCGACTGACTGACTGATGCGTGAGGCGACATAAAAGAGAATTTTAATCTCATCCTCTGTAAGAATTAATAGAAACTGTCGGAGAAAGAGATGTTCTGCATACTGTAAGTATTTAAAAACCAAGTCTTTCGAATGTCTGTAAGAAACAAAAAAAAAAGCAAAAGAGACTGCATGATAGAACAATAATGCAAAGTTTTTTTTCTTTTTGTTTTTTAGACTTCATGTTTTTTCTCCCCCTAAAAAACACTATTTGGATACATGTGTGCTAACAGGGGAGGAACGGAGATAGCGATGGCGTAAGGGGATTTAACAGCAGTGGGTAAATGTTTGGGTCTTTCTCTCAGTTTATTTTTATTTCTTTTCAGCTCTGGAGTTAAAACATGCCACAGGCTGTAACTAAAAATAATAAATAGGAAAAAAAAATGGAAAAAAATAAAGCAGACTAGTGTAGCGGGAGCAGTAGAGGGAAGGGAAGGTACTGGTCCCCCACGTGGCGCTGACCTGAGCAAAGCCCCCCCGCACCGCCGTGCTGTACGGTGCAGATAACGGAACGCCTTCACGTTCGCCCTTCCCATCAGCCACCGCTTCCACACGACTCACGGAGCGAACGCACTCCGCTGTGTTGTGCCGAAACAGTGGGTGTGGATCTAGGCCGGCGCATCTTAACTCCCATCATCAGAGCGTGTGTGGCTCGGCGGTGCGATAGGGATAATAGGGTTAGGTCGACCCTGCGCTCTTAATGAGTTTCCTTTCTCCTTCTCTTCGCCAGTTCTCGGCCTGTTCTGATCTCATTAAAGTGCGGGTAGGCAAATGGAACACCACTGGAAACTGCCGGCACCTGTGTCTTCTATTTTCTCTGCCTGTTTTTTTTTTCTTTTTTTTGGTTGAGGGGATCAGACGAGGCTAAAGAGACATCCTCGTTAGGGGTGGTGAGACTAATGAGCAGCTCAGGTGTGCAGCAGTGTTTAACCTGCTCTTACTGCTGCTGCTTGACTGACAGATTAACATCCTGGAGGGGGGGGAGAGAAAGCAGTAATCATGACACCGCCTCACCGTTTGAGAGGGGGTAATTAGGATGAGAGATGCTCTGTTTGTGTAATTACACGCTGTAAACCTGTATATACTTTAAACTTTATTACTCTGTGAACAATCCTAAGCATTGAGCCCACTGATGTATTTAGTCCCTTTGCCTTCAGCATCTTCCTGTACATGGCTGTTCACTGAGCTCTGGTTTTGGTGGACTGGAAAGCTTTGGAATTCATCTGCTTCTCAAGGCTGAAAACTGTGGAAATTCCGAGGGACAGATTTTCTGCGAGGAACAAGTTTTTGTCTCAGAATCAAGGACAGAGACTCTCGACGCAGCCACCCCTTCCCTGCCTCTTCGTAACGGCACATATCTTTTCAAACTGCTGTTTTATTGCAGAACCCACAATGGCACCTTTCAAATCCCTCCAATTTGGATTCAAGGGAACTTACTGTACATAAATCTTTTTGGGTGCGACTGTTTAATTTTTAATTTTATTTTTTTATACTGCACGTTTAAACATGAATATCTTTTAGTTGACTGCAAAACAAAGAGAGGAAACGAACAGCATCAGCTCTTAGATGTATCACCCACTAACGGAGATGTTTTTAAAAAACAGAAAGAAAAAAAACAGACACTTCAGTGGACATTATGTACCTGCTGTTCTCCTCCTGTTATCCTCGCCTTGTACATATAAAACTACACTGTAGACAGACTACTGAAAACTGTAACAGATAATGGCATGCTTAAGGATCAAATCTGCACTTGAGTAAAAAAAGAGTAAAACTTGGAAAAAAAGGTTTTTATTTCCTTTTGTTTATTCCGGGGACTGGCTCAGTTTTTTGGGTTTCTTTTTTGGCTGCTCCCTTCCTGTAATTACACATTGAACGAATTGCATTTGCTTTCATGAGGATGGAGAGGAGTTACTGAATGGTTTGGTATGAAAATGAATCATGTAAAAGTTTGACTTTGGCATTAAAAACTTCAAACACTTTTGCCTGACTTCTTTCTCCATGCACATCATCCCTCCCTCCTTTATCTCTGCACACTTGACCCAAAATGGGTCAAGTTTCTCCTTAGGATTTCTGCCCAACTCCAGAGATCACGGGGTGAGAGGTGGGCTACATCCTGGACAGGACCCTAATCCATTTTAGGGGACAAGAACAATCATTCAACTACACATTCACAAAATGTACCAATTAACCTAACATACTTGGTCTCAGACTTGAGTAGCACAGGATCTCCCCAAATGAGTTTCAAACCCATGACCTTCCTGCAAAGCAGCAGCATAATTATACCAGTCTTCTACTGTTCCAATCCAATTCATGCTTTCTTTAAAGTGCCATATTTTCTTTTGAACTTGGCTCAGCCAAAGGGAAACAGGAAGTGGCATCAAAGGGGAAAGTAAACTCCTTGGTCTTTGTTTATTAAAGCAATGTTATCTGAACTCTGACTCGTCTTCATCTCTCTAAAAGTGACTCAAAATAATCTAAAGAAATATCAGATTCTTCTCTACAGGCTGTGATAGCCATTGTAGCCATGCTCTTTTCAAATTCCGACATTCCCCTTTGCCATCACTTCCTGTTACTTCACATGTAAATATCTCAGCAACCATTCATCTTAGTGGAATGAATTGTATTTGTTTTGCAATATATAGTATTATCAAGATTAACTTTCCAAAAATGTATTTATTTACTACAAAAGCTAGATGTCATGGGCACTATAAAGGAATGCATATCACCCACTTCCTTAGAGAAGGTTCATCATATTGAGAATTGAGTTATAGCTGTTTTAGTTAAATCTTGAAAAGAACATTATAGATGATTTCATGCTGTATAGCAGATGTTATGCTAAGGGTATGTGTTGAGAATGACTTTAGCTACTACTACGTCAAATTTTAGCTCAATATCGAAAAAAATGGACAAAGTTATAGCTATTTTTGTTTGCTAATATTGATTAGCTGTGGTGGATGACTTGCTTTAGATGGACTTCAAAAGTTCATCAGTGATTATTTTCTGGAAGCTTCATTTAAATTGGTCCAGTGGCTCATGAGATATTTTGCCAACAGACACAAACACAGAGACAAGGGCAAAAACAGGCCTGTCCATCTCTCAGCAGCAGGTGAGAAATATAACAGCTCAGTGTATCCTTTACATGTGCAGAGAGTGATCCGATTGAGACCATCAGAGGGGTTCTGAATCAAAGTTTTGGCCTGACATCTGTGACCATTTGATGAAAGAATGACAAGACCTTGTTTTTAATCTTGTTTAAAGTCAAAAATGGAAGAAAGTTTAACATCTGATCAGTTTTGAACTTTTTAAAAAAGAGGGGAAAAAATCCCTTTGAAGCATGACTCCTTATTTTACGTAGCTCTGTAATGTAATTTTGCAACAGAAATGACATAATCTGAGATAAAGCACCAAGATGCAGGTCTGTCCATCATCTTAATCTTTTGAAAGGTTAATGTGCTGAACTTGATCCCGCTCCGTGAAAACTTTTCAAATGTAGAAGCAATTTGGACTTAAGACTTATCTGGAAAAAAGGAAAATTCATAGGTGTTAACTGCTGCAGAGATTAGCGTGAAGGACTTGAAAATGTCAAAAAAAAAAAGAAAGAAAGGGTGGGGAATGGAAAACGACCTGCAATGTGTGTTTTGTTTTGTAAAGCGAGCAATACTGACACCATGTGGTTAAGAGTCAGTGCACTGTGATTCAGTCACACAGAGACATCCTGAACTGCAAAGAATTTGGATTCTCATTACTTTTATTTTGTGGGTTTTTTAAAGTTTGTTTGCAAAGTCATTTGGGAGTATAAGGCCTTTTTTTCATTATTATAGTCTGATTAAAGATGGATCTGCAACTACAAAAGTAGAAATGTTGTGTAAAATAAACAATCAAATTCAGCGACAGCAGCAGAAGACCACACGTGTCACATCTGTCAGTTAAAAACAAGAAATTAAAACTCCAATTCACACAGACTCACCAAATTTGGACAAAAAGAAATTGGAAAAATGGGATGAGTCTCGATTCACTGAACTTCATGGTCTCCAGGGTCACCAGATGTCAGTCCAGTCGATCACCTTTGGGATGTGGCGGAACAGGGGACTCGTGTTATAAACATGCAGCCGGTAATTCTGCAGTATCACCTTGATGCTGTCATGTCAATATGGACCAAAATGAATTTGTTGAGTTTACAAAAGTGGTGCACAATCCTGGTCCTCAAGGGCCATGTCCTGCAGGTTTTAGTTGCTTCTCCACAGCTGTCTTCTTTTTAACTGATACCTTGAGAACTTGATGTTTCACGAGCCTTAGTGGGCTCCACGCTTTTTGAACCACTGGAATAATCTCTCCTTGGGCTGCCATCTTACCTCTCCTTGGGCTGCCACCTTATTGTGGTGGAGAGGTTTCAGTGTCCCAAAGATCCTAGGAGCTATGTTGTCGGGGGCTTCATGCCCCCAGTAGGGTCACCCAAGGCAAACAGGTCCTAGGTGAGGGATCAGACAAAGTGTAGCCCAAAGACCCCTATGATGAATACGATGGATGGATTCAGTGTTCCCTTGCATGGATGCGGGTCACCAGGGCCCCACTCTGGAGCCAGGCCTGGAGGTGGGGCACGTTGGCGAGCACCTGGTGGCCGGGCTTTTACCCACAGAGCCCAGCTGGGCACAGCTCGAAGAGGAGACGTGGGTCCCCCTTCCCATGGGCTCACAACCTGTGGGAGGGGCCGTAGGGGTCGGGTGCAATGTGTGTTGGGCAGTGGTCGAAGGCGAGGACCTTCGCGGTCCGATCCCCGGCTACAGAAGCTGGCTCTAAGGTTGTGGAATGTTGCCTCTCTGGTGGGGAAGGAGCCTGAGCTGGTGTGTGAGGTTGAGAGGTTCAGACTAGATATAGTTGGACTCACCTCGACGCACCGCTCTGGCTCTGAACCCAGTCTCCTCGAGAGGGGTTGGACACTTTTCCACTCTGGAGTTGCCCATGCTGAGAGGCGCCGAGCAGGAGTGGGCATACTTATTGACCCCCATCTCGGTGCCTGTACGTTGGGGTTCACCCCGGTGAACGAGAGGGTATCCTCCCTCCGCCTATGAGTGGGGGGACGGGTCCTGACTGTTGTTTGTGCCTATACACCTAACAACAGTTCAGATTACCCTGGGTGCTGGAGAGTGCTCCTAACAGGGACTCCCTCGTCCTGCTGAGGGACTTCAATGCACATGTGGGTAATGACAGTGAGATCTGGACGGGGTGCTGAAGGGCGATCCTAACGGGGACTCCCTCATTCTGCTGGGGGACTTCAGTGCTCATGTGGGTAATGCTAGTGAGACCTGGAGTGGCATGGTTGGCAGGAATGCCCCCCCTCCTGATCTGAGCCCGAGCTGTGTTTTGTTATTGGACTTCTGTGCTTGTCATGGATTGTCAATAAAAAAACACCCTGTTGAAGCATAAGGGTGTCCATATGTGCTCTTGGCACCAGGACACCCTAGGCCACAGCTCAGTGATTGACTTTGTTGTCGTTTCATCTGATCTGTGGCCGCATGGTTTGGATACCTGGGTGAAGAGAGGGGCGGAGCTGTCAACTGACCTGGTGGTGAGTTGGCTTCGTTGGTGGGGGAAGATGCCAGTCAACGAATAGTGAGGGTCTGCTGGAAACATCTGTCAGAGACACCGGTCAGATGGAGCTTCAACTCACACCTCCGGGGGAACTTCAAACACGTTCCGGGGGAGGTAGGGGACATTGAGTCCGAGTGAGCCATGTTCTGTACCCCCATTGTCGATGTGGCTTACCTGAGCTGTGGCCGTAAGGTTGTCAGTGCCCGTCATTGTGGCAACCCTCGAACCCACTGGTGGACATCGGCGGTGAGAGATGCTGTCAGGTTGAAGAAGGAGTCCTATGGGGTCTTTTTGGCCTGTGGGACTCTGGAAGCAGCCGATAGGTATTGGCAGTCCAAGCGGATTGCGGCTCGGGTGGTCGCTGAGCAAAACTCGGGAGTGGGAAGATTTCGGAGAGGCCATGGAAAAAGACTTCCATACGGTTTCGAGACGATTCTGGTACACCATCCGGCATCTCGGGGGGTTGGGAAGCTGTTCGCCACCAACACTATTTATGGTGGGGATGGTGCGCTGCTGACCTCAACTCGGGACATTGTGGGTTGGTGAATGGAAAACTTCGAAGACCTCCTCAATCCTACCGACACGTCTTCCCATGAGGAAGCAGAGCCTGAGGACCCTGGGTCGGACTCTTCAATCTCTGGTGCCAAGGTCACCGAGGTGGTTAAAAAGCTCTTCGGTGGCAGGGTGCTGGGGGTGGATGAGATTCGCCCAGATTTCCTCAAGGCTCTGGATGTTGTGAGGTTGTGTTGGTTGATGTGACTCTACAATATCTCGTGGATATCGGGGGCAGTTTCTTTGGATTGGCAGACCGGGGTGGTGGTCCCCCTATTTGAAAAGGGGGACCGCAGAGTGTGTTTCAACTATAGGGGATCACACTTCTGAGCCACCCTGGTAAGGTCTATTCAGGGCTCCTGGAGAGGAGGGTCCATCGGACAGTTGAATCTCGGATTCAGGAAGAGCAGTGTGGTTTTCATCCTGATCGTGGTACAGCGGACTAGCTCTATACCCTCAGTAGGGTCCTGTAGGGTGTGTGGGAGTTCGCCCAACCAGTCTACATGTGTTTTGTGGACTTGGAGAAGGCGTTCGACCATGTCCCTCGGGGACTCCTGTGGGGGGTACTCCGAGTATGGGGTACCAGGCCTATTGATATGGGCTGTTATGTCCCTGTACGACCGGTGCCAGAGCTTGGTCTGCATTGCCGGTAGTAAGACTCATATCCGATGAGAGTTGGACTCCACCAAGGTTTCCCTTTGTCACTGATTCTGTTCATAACTTTTATGGACAGAATTTCTAGGCGCAGCCAAGGTGTTGAGGGGATCCTTTTTGGTGACCTTAGGATCACATCTCTGCTTTTTGCGGATGATGTGGTCCTATTGGCTTCATCAGATCA